CACACACACACACACACACACACACACACACACACACACATATATATATATATATATATATATATATATATATATATATATATATATATAAGTTACAAAAATTAGGAAGACTAACAAGAACTTATTAAACTATATATAAGGATTGTTGAAACCTGTTTGTCAAATGTTCTGGTGACATAAGGCTTCAAACGATGGCCGTTCACTTTGAATTTGTTTCCCCCATTCATGTGTTGTATTTCAATGGCACCATAAGGGGATACTTCAGTTATGATGTACGGTCCAGTCCATCGTGACTTAAACTTTCCTGGAAATAATCTCAATCGACTATTGTATAACAGAACACTATCTCCAACTTTACTTTTATGGCGAATGGACTTGTCATGCCATTTTATTATTTTTTCTTTGTACAATTTAGCATTTTCGTATGCTGTAAGTCTGAACTCTTCTAGCTCATCAAGCTGTAGTAGACGATTTTTTCCTACAACTGGCAGGTTTAAATTTAATAATTTTATAGCCCAATATGCTTTATGTTCCAACTCTACAGGTAGATGACAAGATTTTCCAAAAACTAGTCTATAAGGAGATGTGCCTATTGGAGTTTTGAAAGCAGTTTTGTAAGCCCACAAAGCATCATCTAATTTTAGAGACCAGTCTTTTCGAGAAGAGCCAACAGTTTTTTCTAAAATTCTTTTTAATTCTCGATTGGATACTTCTACTTGTCCACTTGTTTGAGCATGATACGGAGTTCCTGTTTTATGAGTTACTCCATATCTTAACAACAAAGAAGCAAATTGCCTATTTATAAAATGAGTTCCTTGATCACTTATGATAACTCATGGAGTTCCAAATCTAGAAAAGATATTTTTCTTGAGAAAATCGCAAACAACTCGAGCATCATTTTTTTTAGTAGCAATTGCTTCTACCCATTTTGAGACATAATCAACAGCTACTAAAATATATTCGCAACCATTTGAAGGAGGAAAAGGACCCATGAAGTCAATGCCCCAAACATCAAATATTTCACACACAATAATAGAGTTAAGAGGCATTTCATCCCTTTTTGAAATGGTACCGGTTCTTTGACATTGGTCACAAGCGGCAACAAAATTTTTTGCATCTTTGAACAAAGTAAGCCAGAAAAAACCAACTTCAAGTACTTTAGCTGCTGTCCTTCTTCCTCCGTAGTGTCCTCCTACAGCTCCATCATGCCAGTGACTTAAAATGTTATTCATTTCTGTTTCAGGTACACATCTCCTGATTATGTCATCTGCACAAAATTTAAACAAATAAGGATCTTCCCAATAATAATGTTTTGCCTCTTTTTTAAGCTTTTTTCTTTGATCGTAAGACAAATCTTTTGGAATCCACCCCCCCGCTAAATAATTGGCAATATCAGCAAACCAAGGCGGTTTAGTTACAACCGTCGCGACTGAAAAGATATGCTCATCAGGAAATTCCTCTTGGATATCTAGTATTTTAGTAGGAGGATTCTCTAAACGTGACAAATGATCAGCTACCTGATTTTCTGAACCTTTTCTATCTTTTATTTCGAGATCAAATTCTTGCAAAAGGAGTATCCATCTTAGCAATCTAAGTCTAGCGTCTTTCTTTGCTAATAGATACTTTAAGGCTGCATGATCGGTGAACACTGTAACCTTCATTCCTATCAAATAAGAACGAAATTTGTCAAACGCAAATACTACTGCCAATAACTCTTTCTCGGTTGTTGCATAATTCATTTGAGCTTCATTGAGGGTTCTGCTGGCATAGTATATGGGTCTAAAGATCTTATTTTTCTTTTGTCCCAATATCGCTCCTACTGCTATATCACTTGCATCATACATTATTTCAAATGGCTGGTTCCAATCAGGAGAGACAACAATTGGAGCATTAGTTAATTGTTCTTTGAGAAACTCAAATGCTTTTTTGCAATCATCTGAAAATTCAAACTTAACATCTTTCATTAGTAGGTTAGTCAGAGGTTTTGAAATTTTTGAAAAGTCTTTTATAAACCTTCTGTAAAAACCTGCATGCCCTAAGAAACTTCTAATACCTTTAACAGTGGTGGGAGGGGGTAATCCTGCTATAAGATCAATTTTAGCTTTATCAACTTCTATTCCTTTAGCAGTGATTTTATGTCCTAAAACAATTCCCTCTGTTACCATAAAGTGACACTTTTCCCAGTTAAGAACTAGATTTGTCTCTTCACATCTTTTAAGCACCAAAGTTAAATGATAGAGACAATCTTCAAATGTCTTACCAAAAAGTGTGAAATCATCCATGAAAATTTCAAGAAACTTTTCAGTCATATCTGAGAAAATTGCCGACATGCAACGCTGAAATGTAGCAGGAGCGTTACATAGTACAAATGGCATTCTTCTGTAAGCATACGTACCTTGAGGGCATGTGAATGTGATTTTCTCCTGATCTTCTGGAGTAATTGGTATCTGATTACACCCAGAATATCCGTCAAGAAAACAGTAAAAACCATGGCCTGCAACTCTTTCAAGCATTTGATCAATAAAAGGCAAAGGAAAATGATCTTTCCTTGTGGCATCATTAAGTCGTCTGTAATCAATACAGACTCTCCATCCTGTGACTGTTTTAGTAGGTATGAGTTCATTATTTTCATTTTTTATTACTGTCATACCTCCTTTCTTTGGTACTACTTGTACAGGACTTACCTAAGGACTGTCAGATATTGGATAAATGATACCTGCTGCTAGAAGTTTCACCACTTCTTTCTTGACAACTTCCTACATTGCTGGGTTTAGTCTCCTTTGGGGTTGAACTATTGGCTTATAATCTTTCTCCATAAGAATCCTGTGCATACAAATAGCTGGACTAATTCCTTTGATATCAGCTATATTCCATCCTAAGGCTCTTTTGTGTTTTCTCAGGACTCCAATCAGTTTGCTTTCCTGTTCTATAGTCAAAGAAGATGAAATGATTACTGGAAATAATTCAGGTTCAAGAAACACATATTTTAAATGAGAAGGAAGTTATTTGAGTTCAAGTTTTAATTGAACTCCTTCTTGTGAGACTTTCTCATTTTCTGACTCTTTTTCTAGAATTTCAGCTTGTTCTCTAATTACGGGGTTATCATCACTTATGGTACCTGACCAAGCCAAACATCTCTCCAATGAATCAGTAATTAACTGATTATCATTGTATTCGTCTACAAGGTCATCTAGTAAGTCAATTTGAAAACAAGATGATGATGACTCATCCCCAGGAAATTTCATCATTTTCTGCATGTCAAATATTACTCTTTCCTCATCAACTCGCAATATTAATTGTCCTTGATGAACATCAATAATTGCTCTTCCTGTTGCGAGAAATGGTCTACCTAAAATTAATGGTACCTCGGTATTTCTTCCATTTCAAGCACTATAAAATCTACTGGGAATATAAATTTGTCAACTCTGACAAGGATATTTTCAATAATTTCTTTTGGTCTCTTAGTACTTTGATCAGCTAATTGAAGAGACACACCAGTATCTTTCATTTCACCAAGTTCTAATTTCCTGAAAATTGAAAAAGGCATTAGATTTATTGAGGCACCTGAATCACATAAAGCCTTTTCAAAGTGAGTACCTCCCACGGTACAAGGAATTGTAAAACTTCCTGGATCACCAAGTTTCTGTGGGAGCTTATTTTGAAGTATAGCACTACATTTTTTTGTAAGCTTAACCACTGAAACTTCTTCTAATTTTCTTTTACTTGACAGAATTTCTTTAAGAAATTTAGCATATGAAGGCATTTGTGTCAAAGCATCTGTGAAAGGTATGTTAATGTAAAGTTGCTTCAAAATATCTAGAAACTTTGAAAACTTTTTGTCAAGCTTTTCTCTTTTCATCTTTTGGGGAAAGGGAGAGGTGCAGAGTGAGGATTTGTTATCAATTCATTTTCTTGTACATTTTTCCCTTTATTCTTTTGTTCTTTTGGAAACTTAGATTCTATTTTATTCTCGCCTTCATTTACCTGTTCCACTTCTTGTGGTCTTCCTTGTCTATCTGCATATGGATCATCAAGAGTTTTACCTGACCGCAGAGAGATGGCTTTGAGGTGTTCCTTTGGATTTTTCTCGGTGTTGCTTGGTAGAGCACCTTTTATTTGTTCAGACATGAGGGTTTCTAATTGGAACCTGAATTTCCAAAT